TCCGGGGAGAGCGGATATAGTGAATGCTGGGTCCGGGGAGAGCGGATATAGTGAATGCAGAGTGCGGGGAGAGCAGATATAGTGAATGCAGAGTTCGGGGAGAGGGGATATAGTGAATGCAGGGTCCGGGGAGAGCAGTTATAGTGAATGCAGGGTCCGGGGAGAGCAGTTATAGGGAATGCAGGGTCCGGGGAGAGCGGATATAGAGAATGCAGGGTCCGGGGAGACCAGTTATAGTGAATGCAGGGTCCTGGGAGAGCGGATATAGTGAATGCAGGGTCTGGGGAGAGCGGATATAGTGAATGCAGGGTATGGGGAGACCAGTTATAGTGAATGCAGGGTCCGGGGAGACCAGATACAGTGAATGCAGGGTCCGGGGAGACCAGTTATAGTGAATGCAGGGTCCTGGGAGAGCGGATATAGTGAATGCAGGGTCCAGGGAGACCAGATATAGTGGATGCAGGGTCCGGGGAGAGCGGATATAGTGAATGTAGGGTCCGGGAAGAGCGGATATAGTGAATGCAGGGTCCAGGGAGACCAGATATAGTGAATGCGGGGTCCAGGGAGAGCGGATATAGTAAATGCAGGGTCCGGGGAGAGCGGATATAGTGAATGTGGGGTCCGGGGAGAGCGGATATAGTGAACGCAGGGTCCGGGGAGAGCGGATATAGTGAATGCGGGGTTCGGGGAGAGCAGTTATAGTGAATGCAGGGTCCGGGGAAAGCGGATATAGTGAACGCAGGGTCCGGGGAGAGCGGATATAGTGAATGCGGGGTCCGGGGAGAGCGGATACAGTGAATGCAGGGTCCGGGGAAAGCGGATATAGTGAATGCAGGGTCCGGGGAAAGCGGATATAGTGAATGCAGGGTCCGGGGAAAGCGGATTAGTGAATGCAGGGTCCGGGGTTTAGGAACACTTCAACTGCAGGTGAATCTTCCTGGTGCATCTGTTTTAAATGACAATGATTGATTAACCACCAGTGAATGTTTGGTGAAAGTCACTTTCACTGCATCATAAATACGCCCCTAGCTGTTTCTTGATTCCTGTCTGTAAATACTCTTAAAATTCCCAGCCTGATCGGATCTTCTCATCGTACGTGACCGGTGTCAGGACCAACATGGCCCCAGCAAAAAAAAACAAATTGCGCCCATTTTACGGAAACACGCGCCGCAATCGTGAGCGACGTAAGAAGCTTGCTGGGAAGTTCCTGTGTTATCAATAGCCCCCGCCATCAATCAGCCCCTGTTTCCCCGACTCGTTGGGTGGCCAGGTCTCCTCCAGACCAAATAGATATTAGTCAGGCTGGTGCTAAGAAAATACTTCCACTAATTAGAGCAGAGAGGTGGGGGAGGGGGGAGGGGGGTGAATGGCTCCTCAAAGTGCTGCTTGTTTGTTTATCAGCTCCATGTTTGTGTATATGGGGGGGGGGGGGAGAGCTGGATGGTAAAGCTTCCTCACAAATCCTACACTAGATCCATTTTCAATTAGAAACAAAAAAAAAAAAAGGAAGCCCTATCAAGAGACAGGTAAAGGACGTATTCTTCCAAATGCAAAGGCCCTGGATAAAAGAATCTAAAGTGATACAATGTATCGACAAAACTGTAATTTATTTGTATTATTATGTATTCATTTATTTATTTTGTAATGAATCCTCCCAAATGATAAAATGTATCTATCAGTGCCACCTCATCAGTGCTGCCTCATCAGTGCCACCTCATCAGTGCCCATCAGTGCTTTCTATCAGTTCCCATCAGTGCCGTCTCATCAGTGCTGCCTCATCAGTGCCCATTAGTGCCACATCATCAGTGCCTATCAGTGCTGTCTATCAGTGACCATCAGTGCTGCCTCATCAGTGCCACCTCATCAGTGCCCATCAGTGCTTTCTATCAGTTCCCATCAGTGCCGTCTCATCAGTGCTGCCTCATCAGTGCCCATTAGTGCCACATCATCAGTGCCTATCAGTGCTGTCTATCAGTGACCATCAGTGCTGCCTCAGCAGTGCCCATTAGTACCACCTCATCAGTACTGCCTCATCAGTGCCCATCAGTGCTGCATCATCTGTGCCCATCAGTGCCACCTCATCAGTGCCCATCAGTGCCACCTCATCAGTGCAGTCTCATCAGTGCAGCCTTATCAGTGCCGCCTCATCAGTGCCCATCAGTGCCACATCATCAGTGCCCAACAGTGCTGTTTATCAGTGCCTATCAGTGCCACATCATAGTGCCTATCAGTGCTGTCTATCAGTGACCATCAGTGCTGCCTCATCAGTGCCCATGAGTGCCACCTCATCAGTGCCACCTCATCAGTGCCCATCAGTGCCACCTCATCAGTGCTGCCTCATCAGTGTCCATCTGTGCCACCTCATCAGTGCCCATCAGTGCCACCTCATCAGTGCAGTCTCATCAGTGCTGCCTTATCAGTGCCGCCTCATCAGTACCCATCAGTGCCACATCATCAGTGCCCAACAGTGATGTCTATCAGTGCCCACCAGTGCCACCTCATCAGTGAAGTCTCATCAGTGCCCATTAGTGCCACCTCATCAGTGCCCATCAGTGCAGCCTATTAGTGCCCATCAGTGCCACCTCATCAGTGCAGTCTCATCCGTGCTGCCTCAGCAGTGCCCAACAGTGCCACCTCATCAGTGCAGTCTCATCAGTACAGCCGCATCAGTGCCCATCAGTGCCACCTCATCAGTGCAGTCTCATCAGTGCAGTCTCATCAGTGCTCATTAGTGCCACCTCATCAGTGCCCATCAGTGCAGCCTATCAGTGCCCATCAGTGCCACCTCATCAGTGCCCATCAGTGCAGCCTATCAGTGCTCATCAGTACGGCCTCACCAGCGCACATCAGTGAAGGAGAACAATTACTTATTTGCAAAACTTTATAACAGAAACAAAGAAAAACTTTTTTTTTCAAAATTTTCAGTCTTTTTTCATTTGTTTTCCAAAACATAAAAAAAATCAAATACCACCAAAAGAAAGCTGTGTTTGTCTCTATCTTGGTCTGGGCAGGAGGGGGGTGAAAGTCCCCAGCACCGAGGTGGTTAAAAAGTAAATTTTTTTATGATATTTGGAGCTTTAGCAACCTAAACGTCATTCAGTTAAAGTTTACATCCAGGAAATCGGTAAACCCTACAAATGTTCAATCAGAGCTGGGATTCCTGTCATTCATCTGTCATCCACATGTTCCCCTAATTTACAGCTTCATTCAATTTTCCGAAGAGCAGGTGAAAAAAAAATATGATGGATATTTCCGGACCTTCTCTCTCGCATGTCACCGGTCAGAGAGCGCCTGTCTCCTATCCAGAGAACAGAAGCGGGTACAAATCTGCAATTAATGTTGCCAATATCCGTGCAATGTATACGCTGTGATCGCCCCGGAGACTTTTGTTTTTGCTCAGCAAAAGTGGAGTTTCAATTTACAAAAATTAAAAGACTCATTATTAATATTATAATAAACCGGCATCCATTAGCTTCAGCCGCGAGTTGGCGAGCCGCTCCACAACCGTCCGAACGCACCTTCAATTTACGACGGCAATATATATTCTGGCTGCGCTTGGCCTAGTAAAGACTAATGGTTCAATCACTCAGCGAGCTCTGTGTTAGTGGAGCAGATTAGGTCACTGCGCGCTTTTAATTCACATTCGCTGCGCCTGCCAATGAAAGTGAGACTGGCAACGTTTTGGTTTTTAAGGGGAGCCACTTGAGTTGCTATATTCATAAAGGAAAGTGATGTGTTTTTTTTATACCATTCTTTTATGGTATTGTTCGATTTCCCACAAAATATCCAACGACGGTAAAGTGCTGTTTATGAAGTCGCTTTTACGACAGCCGGCTATATGACCGCATGCCCGCCATGACAGATACCTCTACTATGCGGCTATGGAGCTACGCGGTTTATACTGTGTTCTTACCAATAATAATGACATAAATCAATAAATTATGAAATAGACGTATAAAAAGCAAATAAAAGCATAGGTAAAGAAAATGTAAAGCAGAAAATGTCCATTGTGTGTTATATATCATTCAAAAGGGTATATATTTATATATATATATATATAATATATATATATATATATATATATACATATATATATATATATATATATATACATATATATATATATATATATATATATATATACACATAGATATAAATATATATACATACTGTACATACACAAAAACACAGGTGAAACTCGAAAAATGAGAATCTGGTGCATTCATTCATTTATTTCAGTGCAGCAACTTAAAAAAAAAACTAATATATGAGACTCATTACATGCAAAGCAAGATAGTTCAAGCCATGATTTGTCATCATTGTGATGATTATGGCTTACAGCTCATGAAAAAAAAATCCACAATCTCAGAAAATGAGAAATATTCCATGCAATCAATAAAACAAAAATTGTACATAGAACAATATCGGACCTCTGAAAAGTAGAAGCTGCATATGTACTCAGTAATAAAAAAAAAAAAAAAAAAAAAAAGCAATTACTGCCTCAATGCGGCGTGGCATGGAAGCTATCAGCCTGTGGCACTGCTGAGGTGTTATGGAAGACCAGGATGCTTCAATAGCGGCCTTCAGCTCTTCTGCATTGTTCGCTCTCATGTCTCTCATCTTTCTCTTGGCAATGCCCCATAGATTCTCTATGGGGTTCAGGTCAGGCGAGTTTGCTGGCCAATCAAGCACAGTAATCCCACGGTCATTGAACCAGGTTTTGGTGCTTTTGGCAGTGTGGGAGGTGCCAAGTCCTGCTGGAAAATGAAGTCAGCATCCCCATAAAGCTCGTCTGTAGGAAGGAAGCATGAAGTGCTCCAAAATCTCCTGGTAGACGGCTGCGGTGACCCTGGACTTAATGAAGCACAGTGGACCAACACCAGCAGATGACATGGCTCCCCAAATCAACACAAACTGTGGAAAAAAAACACTGGACTTCAAGCATCTTGCAGTGTGTGCCTCTCCATTCTTCCTCCATACTCGGGGTCCTTGTGCCTCTCCATTCCTCCTCCATACTTGGGGTTCTTGGGCCTCTCCATTCTTCCTCCATACTCGGGGTCCTTGGGCCTCTCCATTCTTCCTCCATACTCGGGGTCTTTGGGCCTCTCCATTCTTCCTCCATACTCTGGGTCCTTGGGCCTCTCCATTCTTCCTCCATACTCGGGGTCCTTGTGCCTCTCCATTCTTCCTCCATACTCGGGGTCCTTGGGCCTCTCCATTCTTCCTCCATACTCGGGGTCCTTGGGCCTCTCCATTCTTCCTCCATACTCGGGTTCCTTGTGTCTCTCCATTCTTCCTCCATACTCGTGGTCCTTGGGCCTCTCCATTCTTCCTCCATACTCATGGTCCTTGGGCCTCTCCATTCTTCCTCCATACTCGGGGTCCTTGTGCCTCTCCATTCTTCCTCCATACTCGGGGTCCTTGTGCCTCTCCATTCTTCCTCCATACTCGAGGTGTTTGTGCCCCTCCATTCTTCCTCCATACTCTGGCTCCTTGGGCCTCTCCATTCTTCCTCCATACTCGGGGTCCTTGTGCCTCTCCATTCTTCCTCCATACTCGGGGGTCCTTGGGCCTCTCCATTCTTCCTCCATACTCGGGGTCCTTGGGCCTCTCCATTCATCCACCATACTCGGGGTCCTTGGGCCTCTCCATTCTTCCTCCATACTCGGGGTCCTTGTGCCTCTCCATTCTTCCTCCATACTCGGGGTCCTTGGCCTCTCCATTCTTCCTCCATACTCGGGGTCCTTGTGCCTCTCCATTCTTCCTCCATACTCGGGGTCCTTGTGCCTCTCCATTCTTCTCCATACTCGGGGTCCTTGGGCCTCTCCATTCTTCCTCCATACTCGGTGTCCTTGTGTCTCTCCATTCTTCCTCCATACTTGGGGTCCTTGTGCCTCTCCATTCTTCCTCCATACTCGGGGTCCTTGGTTTCCAAATGAGATGCAAAAGTTGCTCTCATCAGAAAAGAGGACTTTGGACCACTGAGCAACAGAAAAGGTCTGTTTTTCTTTAGCTCAGGTAAGACGCTTCTGACGTTGTTTGTTGTTCAGGAGCGGCTTGACAAGAGGAATACGACATTTGAAGCCCATGTCCAGGATCCGTCTGTGTGTGGTGGCTCTTGATGCACTGACTCCAGCCTCAGTCCACTCCTTGTGAAAGTCCCCAACACTTTTGAATGGCCTTTTCCTGACAATCCTCTCCAGGCTGCGGTCATCCCTGCTGCTTGTGCACCTTTTTCTTCCACACTTTTCCCTTCCACATAACTTTCTATTAATGTGCTTTGATACAGCACTTTGGGAAACATCCAACTTCTTTTGCAATTCCCTTTTGAGGCTTTCCCTCCTTATGGAGGGTGTCAGTGATGGTGTCAGGTCAGCAGTCTTTCCCATGATTGTGATTCCTACTGAACCAGACTGAGAGACCATTTAAAGGCTCAGGAACCCTTTGCAGGTGTTATGGCTTAATTATCTGATTAGAGTGGGACACTTTGAGCCGAGAATATTCCACCTTTTCACAATATTCTCATTTTCTGAGATTGTGGATTTGGGGTTTTCATGAGCTGTAAGCCATAATCATCACAATGATGACAAATCACGGCTGGAACTATCTTGCTTTGCATGGAATGAGTCTCATATATTAGTTTCACCTTTTAAGTTGCTGCACTGAAATAAATGAACTTTTGCACCATATTCTAATTTTTCGAGTTTCACCTGTATATGGTGTCGCTGCAATCATCAAGAGCTGAAAAAAAAATTTTGGGTTGCTCTTTGGTGGTAGGTTATGGTAGTAAAAAAAAAACACACAGCTAAAGTTAAAAAATAGATTTTTTTTTTTTTTACTATTTTGGGCCAATTTTCATTTGATCATTCACTGTACAGGCCGCTCCCCCTTGTTTTTCTTTTCTTTCTGAATGCAGGAGAAAGATACATTGATACTTTGTATCTCTCTCTCTCTCCTTGCATAGAGAAAAAAAAAAAATTAAAAAAAAGATAAATATTAAAAAATAAAGGAAAAAAAAAGAAAAAATACCTAGATCAAGGTTTGATCTAGTTCAGTGCCAGGGTTAGCGTCAAGGTCGTGGTCAAAGGTCAGGGTCAAAGGTCACATATATGGTGTCACTGCGATCGTCAAGAGCTGGAAAATTTATTTTGGGTTGTTCTTTGGTGGTAGGTCATGGTAGTAACAAGAAACACACAGTGAAAGTAAACAAAAAATTATTATTTTTTTACTATTTTTTATTGAAAAATAAAATAAAAAATAAAGAAAATAATACCTAGATCAAGGTTTGATCTAGTTCAGTGCAGGGTTAGTTTTTGGGTTGAGCTTGTGGTCAAAGGTCAAGGGTCAGGGTCAAAGGTCAGGATTTTTTATTTATTTTTTAAAATTTGTATGAGAATGTGCACTATTGTTTCTGGGCTGTACTAAAAAACAAACAATAATAACATACATATATGGTGTCGCCGGGATCGTCAAGAGCTGGAAAATGTTATTTTGGGTTGTTCTTTGGTGGTAGGTTATGGTAGCAACAAGAAACACACAGCTAAAGTAAACATTTTTTTTTTTTTTTTTACTATTTTTTTATTAAAAAAGAAAAAAAAAAAAAAAAGGAAAAAATACCTAGATCAAGGTTTGATCTAGTTCAGTGTCAGGGTTAGTGTTTGGGTCAAGGTTGTGGTCAAAGGTCAGGGTCAAAGGTCAGGATTTTTTATTTATTTTTTTAAAAATTGATATCAGAGTCTGTGTTTTAGATATAAAAAAAAAATGTGTACTATTGTTTCTGGGCTGCACTACGGGTACAAACAATAATAACATACACATATATGGTATCGCTGCGATCGTCAAGAGCTGGAAATTTTATTTTGGGTTGTTTTTTGGTGGTAGGTTATGGTAGTAACAAGAAAAAACACAGCTAAAGTAAACAAAAATTATTTTTATTTTTAATATTTTGGGCCAATTTTCATTTGATCTCTCACTGTACAGGCTGCCCCCCCCCCCCGGTTTTTTTTTTTCTTTCTGAATGCAGAAGAGAGATACATTGATACATTGTATCTTTCTCTCTCCTTGCACAGAGAAAAAAAAAACTGTTAAAAAAAGATGAATAAATATTAAAAAAAAAAAGAAAAAAAAAAGAAAAAAAACCTAGATCAAGGTTTGATCTAGTTCAATGCCAGGGTTAGAGTCGAGGTCAGGGTCAAAAGTCACATATATGGTGTGGCTGCGATCATCAAGAGCTAGAGAAAAAAATTTTGGGTTGTTCTTTGGTGGTAGGTTATGGTAGTAACAAGAAACACACAGCTAAAGTAAACAAAATTTTTTCTTTTTTTTTACTATTTTTTTATTAAAAAAAAAAAAAAAAAAATAAGGAAAAAAAAAAACCTAGATCAAGGTTTGATCTAGTTCAGTGCCAGGGTTAGTGTTTGGGTCGAGGTTGTGGTCAAAGGTTAGGATTTTGTATTTATTTTTTTAAAATTGATATCAGAGTCTGTGTTTTAGGTATAAAAAAAAATGTGTACTATTGTTTCTGGGCTGCACTACGGGTACAAACAATAATAACATACACATATATGGTGTCGCTGCAATCATCAAGAGCTGGAGAATTTATTTTGGGTTGTTCTTTGGTGGTAGGTTATGGTAGTAACAAGAAAAAACAGCTAAAGTAAACAAAAATGATTTTTATTTTTAATATTTTGGGCCAATTTTCATTTGATCTCTCACTGTACAGGCCGCCCCCCCCCCCCCTTGTTTTTTTGTTTTTTCTTTCTGAATGCAGGAGAGAGAGCTACATAGATATATTGTATCTCTCTCTCTCCTTACATAGAGAAAACAAAAAACTGTTAAAAAAAAAAATAAATAAATATTAAAATAGAAAAAAAAAAAAATAAAAAAAAATACCTAGATCAAGGTTTGATATAGTTCAGTGCCAGGGTTAGAGTCGAGGTCAGGGTCAAAGGTCAGGGTCAAAGGTCACATGTTTTTGGGGTTGTTCTTTGGTGGTAGGTTATGGTAGTAACAAGAAAAAACAGCTAAAGTAAACAAACTTTTTTTTTTACTATTTTTTATTAAAAAAAATATAACAAAAAAAAAAGAAAAAAATACCAAAAAATAAGGTTTGATCTAGTTCAGTGTCCAGGGTTAGTTTTTGGGTAGAACTTGTGGTCAAAGGTCAAGGTCAAAGGTCAGGCTCAAAGGTCAGGATTTTTAATTTAAAAAAAAAAATTGGTGTCAGTGTGTTTTAGGTATAAAACTAAAAAATGCGCACTATTGTTTCTGGGCTGTATTTATTTTGGGTTGTTCTTTGGTGGTAGGTTATGGTAGTAACATGAAACACACAGCTAAAGTAAACAAATTTTTTTAAACTATTTTTTATTAAAATATAAAAGAAAAAATAAAGAAAAAAATGCCTAGATCGAGGCTTGATCTAGTTCAGTGCCAGGGTTAGTTTTTGGGTGGAGCTTGTGGTCAAAGGTCAAGGGTCAGGGTCAAAGATCAGGATTGTTTATTTTTTAAATTGGTATCAGAGTCTGTGTTTTAGGTATAAAAAAAAGCGCACTATTGTTTCTGGGCTGCACTACGGGTACAAACAATAATAACATACATATATGGTGTCGCTGCGATCGTCAAGAGCTGGAAATTTTATTTTGGGTTGTTCTTTGGTGGTAGGTTATGGTAGTAACAAGAAACACACAGCTAAAGTAAACAAAAATGATTTTTATTTTTAATATTTTGGGCCATTTTTCATATGATCTCTCACTGGCCGCCCCCCCTTGTTTTGTTTTTTTCTTTCTGAATGCAGGAGAGACATACATAGATACATTGTATCTTTCTCTCTCCTTGCATAGAGAAAAAAAAAAACAAAAAAAAACTGTTTGTTAAAAAAAAGATGAATAAATATTAAAAAATAAAATAAAAAATAAAGAAAAAAATACCTAGATCGAGGCTTGATCTAGTTCAGTGCCAGGGTTACTTTTTGGGCGGAGCCTGTGGTCAAAGGTCAAGGTCAAAGGTCAATTCTTTATTCTTTGGTTGAATTTGGTTTGAATTTCTGAGTTGAAACCTCCATGCAGCTGTTCCCCCTCCATCGCCTCTAGTCAGCACACCTTCCCCTCGTACTCTAACTGACATGTATTTAGGTCTGCAAGACATATATTATCCTTCTGCCATATTACAAAACACATCATCATTTGCAGAGATCCGAAACCTGCGCAGGTCACCTGACAAGTCAATATTCTTTTTTTTTTTCTTTTTTCTTTTTTTTTGCACCTGCATTCCAGCCGTCATTTCTGTCCGAATTCCTCCAGGTAAAGCGTGCAACCAGAAAGATAAATACACCAGCTACCTCCCGTGCACGTGTTATTTGCATGCGTTTTCCTAGGAACGCCGCGAGCAAAGTCGCACCCATCTTGTGCTCGTTGCCTTTTATACATCGCTAAAAATAACAGCACAATTTTTTCGGTCTATTTAAAACCCGAAGAGAAGATTTGGTGGGGCACAGCTCATACGTTTCCTCCTATAACGACGCTGGCAGACCATGTGGTAATCATTTGAAATCTCCATTTTGACATGCGAAATTACCGCAGGGCAATTAAATGCATTTTTTTTTTTTTTTTTACATCAAGCGTTTAGGCGGGCTGGGGATCATGTCCCCGATCTGAATGCGTGTGAAAATGATACTCTTCAGACTAACGAGCTGCCTGGCTTGTCTTCGCTTCTCTAAATTATTGACCTAGCTTGTCATACGTAAATTCTGGAAGCCATTTTGCAGGGCCGTCACCGGGGCGAGATGTTAGCTGTACCCCAGCAGGGCGCAATTAAATCGCCTGCGCTTCGAGGGATGGTGTGAATAAATGAATGAAAATGTTTATTGTTCTAACCTTTAACAGATAGAAGTGTGAAGATTTCGCGACTCACAAAATACGTTGAAGTGGGGAGGACCTTCTGGATTCGAGGAGAGACTTTTTTCAGTATAGAAATCACTTCTTTGTCGTGATCCCACCGATAAAGACTGCGCTTGGCTTACAATGTTGGGTCTCATTTAAATTGGATGTTTCTTTGAAGAGCAGGAGGGCCCACCTCCACAAAATTCCATACCAGATCCTTAACCGAGTATGCAGGAAAGGCGGAGGACAAGTGTGTGCCCCCCTTCCTGAACCATGCTAGGCCACTTGCTTTCAACACAAGGGAGGCACCTTACCAGGGGGGGGGCTGCCCTGGCAAAGGAATTTGTAACCATGTTGAAGGACAAGGGTCTCTTCACCACAACACTGGCCCGGTGGTGGTGGGGGGGTCTGCGAACATGGGGCTTATCGGAGTAATTTGTCTCCATGTTGATGAGGACAAGGTCCTCTTCCCCACAACCCTGGCCTGATAGTGGTGGTGATCTGTGTGCACGGGGCTTATTGGAGCAATTTTCCTCTATGTTGATGAGGACAAGGACCTCTTCCCCACAACCCTGGCCCAGTGGTGGTGGGGGTCTGCGGGCATGGGGCTTATCAGAGTAATTTGTCTCCATGTTGATAAGGACAAGGGCCTCTTCACCACAACACTGGCCCGGTGGTGGTGGGGGTCTGTGAACATGGGGCTTATCGGAGTAATTTGTCTCCATGTTGATGAGGACAAGGTCCTCTTCCCCACAACCCTGGCCTGGTACTGGTGGGGGTCTGTGCATATGAAGCTTATTGGAGCAATTTGCCTCTATATTGGTGAGGATAAGGGCCTCTTCTTCAAAACCCTGGCCCAGTGGTGGTGGGGGTCTGTGGGCATGGGGCTTAATCGGAGTAATTTATCTCCGTGTTGATGAGGGACAAGGACCTCTTCCCCACAACCCTGGCCTAGTGGTGGTGGGGGTCTGTGGGCATGGGGCTTATCAGGAGTAATTTGTCTCCATGTTGATAAGGACAAGGGCCTCTTCACCACAACACTGGCCTGATAGTGGTGGTGATCTGTGTGCACGGGGCTTATTGGAGCAATTTGCCTCTATGTTGATGAGGACAAGGGTCTCTTCCCCACAACACTGGCCCGGTGGTGGTGGGGGTCTGCGGGCATGGGGCTTATTGGAGTAATTTGTCTCCATGTTGATAAGGACAAGGGCCTTTTCCCCACAACCCTGGCTGATAGTGGTGGTGGTCTGTGTGCACGGGGCTTATTGGAGCAATTTGCCTCTATGTTGATGAGGACAAGGGTCTCTTCCTCACAACCCTGGCCTAATACTGGTGGGGGTCTGTGCATATGGGGCCTATTGGAGCAATTTGCCTCTATATTAATGAGGACAAGGGACTCTTCTTCACAACCCTGGCCCAGTGGCGGTGGGGGTCTATAGGCATAGGGCTTATCGGAGCAATTTGTCTCTATGTTGATGAGGACAAGGGACTCTTCTTCACAACCCTGGCCCAGTGGTGGTGAGGGTCTATGGGCATGGGGCTTATCAGAGCAATTTGCCTTTATATTGATGAGGACAAGGGCCTCTTCTTCACAACCTTGACCCAGTGGTGGTGGGGGTCAGAGAGAATGGGGCTTATCAGAACAATGTGTCCCTATATGGATGAGGACCAGGGCCTCTTCTCCACAGTCCTGGTCCAGTGGTGGTGGAGGTTTGTGTGCATGGGGCTTATCGGAGCAATATGTCCCTATGTTGATGAGGACAACGGTCTCTTCTTCACAACCCTGGCCCGGTGGGGGTGGGGGTCTGTTGGCATGGAGCTTATTAGAACCTGGAAGCCCATGTTAACCCAGATAGTGGCCCCCTGTACATGAAAAAGTCACATAGTACATAGTACCCCTACTCCTTCTTTTAAAAAAATCTAAAGTGTAAATAAATACAGACAGAATATTTTCAATAAAATCCACCAACAGTCTCGCTGTCCAGTGATGTAAATCCACATCCATTACAATGCCCGTCTCCTGCATTAATAATATTTTCAATAAATAATTTTACTAAAGCTGAACTCCAGCAACACAGCTAAATACACATATTAACTACATACAGTTTAAAAAAAATGTTTCACCTGCTAATGGACTTGTATTTCTGTCCACCAGTCCTGAGATGTACACAGGACTGCCGTGTCTGATAGAAAAGGAAACCTGATTTTCTCTGCTGCGGTTTCACTTTCACTTACAGGTTTTGTCCTCTCCCCAGCCTGGTGCCGGACAGTGGAAGGAGAAGCAGAAGACAGCTGTGCTCATCTCTCTGCCACTCTGCTTCTCTACCAATCAGCATGTTCCTTCTTAGGACGTGAGCACAACTAATTGGCTCGTTGTATTGCCTCCATCTCCCCTACTCTGAACCAGGGGTGGACTGACAACTTATAGGGCCCCCGGGTAATAGAAAATCATGGGACCCCTGTGTCCTCGCCCACACTCAAACCACGCCCAAAAAAGCCTATGAAAGATAACTGGGGCATCTCATGGGGCCCCCTATTGACCCCGGGCCCTCAGGCAGTGCCCTTAGAGGCGCCTTCCTCTCTTTTTCTTGTTACTGCATTACAGCCTTGCTTCCACTCTAAGAAGAGCTGCCTCAGTGTTACTGCTCCCATCCATCCCTGATATCCATCTGGCACCTTTATCCTACATACTGCACTAGGGGCGGACTGACAACTCATGGGGCCCCTGTGTCCTCGCCCACACCCAAAAAAGCCAATGAAATGTACCAGGGGCATCTCATGGGGCCCCCTACTGACCCCAGGCCCTCAGGCAGTGCCCGAGTGTTCGAATGGTCAGTCCGCCCCTGCACTGCACTTGGCCAATTCAAACCAATCACATGTTGCAAAGTACAAGACTTTTATAAAAACCAAAGAAGGCCGGAGGAGATGGTCATCTGGTATCTATAACATAGAGCCGGATCAATACAGACCAGCACATAAATCGATGAATGGCTTTGACTGTCTTGCAGGATTCTGGGAAATTCTTAGTCTGGACAGCTGTAAGCTGCGATGACAGCTCCTTTGCCTGACCATTTCCAGTAATCGCTCAGATTTGTCAAACATTTCAGAAAACTCGAGAAAAAGCCAACGTGTAACTTTCCTTCACAGGATGAGACATTGTGCAGGATCCGATGTGCCGCTGGTAACAGTTCTACCCGTTCATACTCCGCACATCGACTTGGCAAAGGAATATGCAAACTCTCACTTGTGCCAGCCAGAGTTATACACAAACATCTGCTACAAGGGGCCGTTATAATCTATGGGGGGGATATGTTAAAGCTCAGCTGAATCTTCGATACTTATATTTATTATTTTTATGCAGTCAGCCTGCATATACAGTATTAGTTTTTTTTTTTTTCTGTTGCCAAATGCTGCTGCAAGGAATAAAATGCTCTGTATGGGCATCTCAATGAAGAGTCGGACCGCTGCTCTCACTCACAAGCAGCAGTATGGCTTTCCAGTGGTCAGGCATGTGCCCCCCCCCCCCACACACACACATACCCCCCTACATACTGCTCCAATCAACAACATTGGTTCAAGATAGAGAGTGCTGTTGATTGGAATACAGTATAAGTGGGTGTTTTGTACTCCTGGAGAGCCGGACCACTGCTCGTGTGTGTGAGTGCAGTGCTCTGGTTAAGATAGAAGCAGGGGTGGACTGACCATTCAAGCACAAGGGCCATGGGTCAGTAGGGGGCCCCATAAAATGACCCTGGTACCTTTTATAGGCTTTTTTGGGTGTGATTTGAGTGTGGCCCCATGATCCCTATTGCCCAGGGGCCCCATGAGTTGTCAGTCCGCCCTTGGATAGAAGGGTGCTTAGTGGCACTGCCAGTCATGCTGAGGGTGCTTGGGTAACAGCAAAAGCAGGTATATGGCAGAAACAGTCTTTGGAAAAGCCTTTGGTCACTTTCTCCCAGGAGCCTTCTGGGAATGTGAACGGCCAAAAATGCCGTTACAATTTGGATTCGTCTCAGGACATCCAAATTCATGAAATTCAAAATCACCTCTATTGACCATTTCCCCATTGTCATATCACCTATACTGAATCTAAACATTCCATGGCATTCTTTCCGGATTGCATCTCCAGGCTCTCTTCAGGAACCTGACACTCAATGATGACACAATGTCCACCATGTATATTTAGATAGAAGGGTGCTTGGTGGCACTGGCAGCCAAACTAAGGGTTCTCAGGCAACAGCAAATTTGGAATAAACTCTTTTAACCATTTCCCTATTGTCCTAACCACCTACACTGAATCTAATGTAAATTCCATGGCATACTAACCTGATTGCATCTCTAGCCTCTCCCTGGATCTTGACACTCAATGATGCCCCAACGTCTACCAAGGATGCTTGTCCATTGTCATATCACCTACATTGAATCTAAAAACCCCATGACATTCTTACCTGACTGCATCTTCAGCTTCTCTCCAGGAACCTGACATTCAATGATGCCACAATGTCTACCAGGGATATTAAGAAAGAAGCGTGCTTGGTGACACTGGAAGCCAAACTAAGGGTGCTAGGGCAACAGCAAAAGCAGATATACAAGAGTAACAGCCTTTGGAAAAGCATCTGGTCACTTTCTCCCAGCCTTCTGGGAATCTGAACTGCCAAAAGTTGCATTGAAATGTAGATTTGGCTCAGAACATCTAAATTCATGAAATTCAAGATCACCTCTGTTGACCATTTCCACATTTTCATTCACCTACACTGAATCTAAAATCCCCATGGCATTCTTACCTGATTGTATCTCTGGCCTCCTTTCCTTTCTGGATCCTGCCACTCAGTGATGTTACAATTTCTACTAGGGATACCAAGATAGAAGAGTGCTTGGTAGCACTGGAAGCCAAGTAAAGGGTACTTGGACAAAAGCAAAAGCAGATATAAGGCTGAAGCAGTCTTTGGAGTAGCCCTTAATTGCATTCTCCCAGAAAACCCTCTGGGAATCTGAAGTGCCAAAAAAAACACTGAAATTTGGATTTGGCTCAGGACATTCATGAAACTCATGATCACCTCTACGGATCATCTTCTCCAGTGTCTCCAACATTAAATTTTTTATGTCCCATGGCATTCTTACCTGATTGCATCTTCAGCTTCTGACCGAATCATGATGCTTAAATATTGCCCCAACGTCTACCAGGGATATTAAAATCGAAGTGCGAAACTAAGGGTGCTGTACTCGGGCAACAACAAAAGCAGATATACAGCAGACACAGCCTTTGGAACAGCCTTTGGTTACTTTCTTCCAGAAGCCTTCTGAGAATCTGAAATGCCCAAAATACCATTAAAATTTTGGATTTGGATTGGGATATGCAAATGGTATTGAAGTTCACCTCTATTGACCATTTCCTCATTGTCACAGCACTTACACTAAATCTAAACATTCCGTGACATTCTTGCCTGATTGCATCTCCAGTCTCTTTTCAGGAACCTGACACTCAATGATGACACAATGTCCACCATGAATATTTAGATAGAATGGTGCGTGGTGGCACTGGCAGCCAAGCAAAAGGTTCTTGGGCACAGGGGCAGACTTAGAACTCATGGGGCCCCCGGGCAATAGGGGATCATGGGGCCCCTGTGTCCTTGCACACACTCAAAGTACACCCAAAAAAGCCTATAAAAGGAAGTCACATTTCATGGGGCCCCCTACTGACCCCGGGCCTCGGGCAGTGCCCGAGTGCTCAAAAGGTCAGTCCGCCCCTGCTTGGGCAACAGCAAATTTGGAATCAACTCTTTTGACCATTTCCTCATTGTCCTATCCACTTACATTGAATCTAAAAATTCCTTGACATACTAACCCGATTGCATCTCCAGCCTCTCCCTGGATCTTGACACTCAATGATACCACCACGTCTACCAGCAATACTAAGATAGGGTGCTTGGTGGCACTGGCAGCCAAACTAAGGGTGCTTGGGCAACAGCAAAAGCAGATCTATGACAGAAACAGCCTTTGGAAAAGCCTTTGGTCACTTTCTTCTAGAAGTCTTCTGGGAATCTGACCTACCAAGCATACCATTAAAATTTTGATTTGCTTCAGGACATCCAAATTCAGGAGACTTGAGATCTCTTCTATTGACCATTTCCTTATAATATCACCTACACTGAATCTCAAAATATCATGGCATTCTTACCTGATTGCATCTCCAGCCTCTCTCCAGGAACCTGACACTCAATGATGCCAAAGTAAGGGTCCTCAGGCAACAGCAAAAGCAGATCTATGACAGAAACAGCCTTTGGAACAGCCTTTGGTCACTTTCTTCTAGAAGTCTTCTGGGAATCTGAACTACCAAGCATACTATTAAAATTTTGATTTGGCTTAGGACATCCAAATTCAGGAGACTTGAGATCTCTTCTCTTGAGATCTCTTCTATTGACCATTTCCTTATAATATCACCTACACTGAATCTCAAAATCCCATGGCATTCTTACCTGATTGCATCTCCAGCCTCTCTCCAGGAACCTGGCACTCAATGATGCCACAACATTCACCAAGGATACTAAGATAGGAGGGTGCTTGGTGGCTCTGGCAGCCTAACTAAAGGTTCACGGGCAAGAACAAAAGTATATATACAGTACAGCAGAAACATCCTCATTACAGCAGAAACATCCTCTGGAGCAGCCTTCGGTCACTTTCTGCCAGAAGTCTTTTGAAAATCTGAACTGCCAAAAGCAACATTGAAGTTTAGATTTGACATGGGACAATTTGACATGGGACATCCAAATGCATGAAATTCGGGATCAACTCTAGTGACCATCTCCCCCAGTGTCCCATTGCCTACACTGAATCTAAACCTACCATGGCATTCTTACCTGATTGCATCTCCAACCTCTCTCTAGATCAGCAATGGGCAAACTACGGCCCGCGGGCCGTATACGGCCCGGCGGACCTTTTAATCCGGCCGGCGGAGCGTGGCAAACATCGGCTGTCAGAATGTGTGTAGGCGGGGCAGCGTGAGGAACGTGAGGGGAAGCTAGGCTCCTCTCACAGTCCGCCCTGAAGACCGGAACAGCGCGGGAACACGGCGAGAGGAACGCGCGGAGCAAAGGTAAGTGAATTGACACAGGGGGGACTTGGCTTACTACTTGGGGGGGAATAGTACTGTGGGGGATGAAATACTATATGAGGGATGAATTAATATGGGGGATGAATTAATATGGGGAATGAATTACTATAGGGGGGATGAATTACTATAATGGGGGATGAATTACTATGGGGGGATGAATTACTATATGGGGGATTACTATATGGGGGAAATTACTATGGGTGATGAATTACTTAATGGGGGATGAATTACTATGGGGGATGAATTACTATAGGGGGGATGAATTACTATAGGGGGGATGAATTACTATATGTAGGATGAAATTACTATGGGGATGAATTACTATATGGGGGATGAATTACTATATGGGGGATGAATTACTATATGGGGGATGAATTACTATGGGGGATGAATTACTATATGGGGGATGAATTACTATATGGGGGATGAAATTACTATATGGGGGATGAATTACTATGCTTACTATGGGGGAATATTACTATACTTACTATGGATGACACATACACATCATTCATCTACTCTTAGTCCGGCCCCCGGGTCCAATATATGAACCCATTGCAGGCCTCAAGTCAAAAAGTTTGCCCACCCCTGCTCTAGATCCTGACCCTCAAGATGCCATGATATCTCACTGGCCCTCTCAAAGGAAGGCGGTTAGGCAGAGGCAGGCAACGTGTGGCTACAACACATACATGTGGATGGGCCCTGTATTTTTTCCTCACCAGACTAATCAACAGTATAAGGATATAAAACTGTGTTTTAAGGGAATCAAATTAACTTGGGTTGACTCTACCATGGAAGCACAGGATTCTGGGAAAAGACTGTTTATTTAGGGACACATATACACACTTACACAGCAGCGCATGTGGTCCTCGAGAATGAAAAACAAATTCTTTTGTTGGAGGGAGAAAGCCATAATCTTAATGTCAATTGGGAACAAAGAAAATACTTAGAGTCTCCAAGCAACATAATGAGGAATTTGGGATCGTCCTCGCTGCCTTTCAGGAGGCGACCTACACATAAATTCTAATTATTACTATTGTGCTCAGAGCATAATAGGTCTCGCGTTAGACAAAAATAAATGGCTGAATTTTTTTTTTTTCCACAGAATAGGATTCTATATCTGGCGCGTTCCGCTGAGTTCAACACAAATAAAATAAACAGTTGTTTTGTATATTCCTGCCAGGAAGCCCAGCGATTATAATGGGGCATTATTTTTTTTTTTTGAGGAAGTTTTGAAGAATAACATTGACTTAAAAATAAAAGTGGAAGAATTTAAAGAGGAACTTCAGTTTCTTTTTTTAATTTTTTTAAAAAGTTAACCGCTATAAATACTGTAGGGGCAGGCTTTTAAAAATCAGGTACTTACCAGTGTCTGGGACCCAGCCAGGGCGGAATGACAACTCATGGGGCCCCCGGGCAATAGGGGATCATGGGGCCCCTGTGTCCTTGCCCAAACTCAAAAAAGCCTATGAAAAAGGTACCAGGGGCATCTCATGGGGCCCCTACTGACCCCGGGCCCTCGGGCAGTGCCCGAGTTTCCAAATGGTCAGTCCGCCCCTGGACCCAGCGCTGTCTTCCTGCAGCCTGTTCTTCTTAGGGCTCATGTACACTGCAGCTGATAAACCGATGTTTAGGAGCTGTTCAGCGTTTTTTTTTTCAGCAGCCCCTGAACTCTCCCTAATGTTTTCCTATGTGTCCATGTACACATCATCCTTTACAGTCGTTTACAGGCAGTTGAGTTTACAATAATTTTTTT